TCTCTCCCTCGCATGTGCCCTGGCTAACCCTCCCGAGCCGGTCTCTCGCCCACTGCGCCACGTCCAAACCAGCCCCTCCTCCCCTTCTCCATCATTTGCAGCAATGTCACCGAGAAGCTCCCTGGCCACAAGGAGCCGGTCCTCGTGCGCAAGTACCCCTGGGGCACGATTAATGTTGAAGATCCGGAGATCTGTGACTACACCCTGCTGGCCAGCTGCCTTCTGGAGTGCGTCCTCGTTTTTCCGCGGCTGCTGGTGCCCTTCCGGTGGCCGCCTTCTGTCGCCATCCCCCCCCCCCCCTCCCCCCCTCTCTTCCCCTCCTTCCCCCTTTCTGGGCCCATTCTCGCCTTCGCCCCCTGTCACCCGCCTCTTCTTTTTCGGGCGGGGAGTGTGGGGGTGGGGGTGGGGGGGCCACGCATTTCCTCTCGGTCCACCTCCTGCGCCTTCCTCGTCTGCCTAACAACAAGCAACAGCACCCACATCGAGTTCTTCACCGAGCGCTCGCGCCTGATCCACTACGAGTCCTTCCGCCGTGAGGTGCTCAGCTCGGCGGCCGATGGCGGGCATCTGGATACGGCCGCCATCGAGGCCCTGCTCGACCAGAACCTCCAGCTGGAGAATGCTCGCGCCAACCAGTCGGACGCCGCTTCCAAGCACCACATTGGCAGCCTGCTGTCGGCCATGTCGGCCTTTGGCGAGGAGGAGGAGCCCCCTGTGGTGAAGAAGTGCGCGTCCTCTTCCTCTCTTGCCGTCCCTCTCCCCGCTGCTCCATTCCGACACCCACCCTCCTTCTCCTTGAGAGGGAGATTGCCGCCATATCGTATGTTCGAGCTCTAACGTTCCCCTGCCTCCCTCCTCGCTCTGCACGCGTCCCCGCATGTAGGACCCGCACTCCGGAGGAGCTTATGGAGCGGGCTCTCCGCCGTGAGGAGCTCTCCCGTCGCGGATCTTCCTCGCAGCAGTCCCCGCAGCTGACCGACTCGACCGAGGCCCCGTCCCTGGTGACGGCGGACTCGGTCACCTCCTTCGCCGAGTCGGCCGATGTCGCGGTCTAATGTGCTCGGGGGATGGCCGAGATATTGTGTACATGCGTCCCGCCGGCGGGTGTGTCCGACTGTCAAGGCGCGAAGTGTGGTCATCAAGGATGGCCGCGTGTGCATCCCGCGCGGTGTGGCATGCGATTGTGGATGGGGGAATTTTCCTTTGTCCCCCCTTCCTGGTTCTTTTTGCCTCCCTCTCTCTCTCTCTCTCTCTCCCCCGCCCCCACCCACCCACCAATGTACACGTGCGCATCCGCGTACATCTGCACGCGGCTCTCCCAGCTGGCCATCGAGAAGCCAACCAGCAGAGTCAACAGGGTACAACTCGGCATCGCCAGGGGAGGGGTGGGGGAAGTGCACGGCCCCGAAGTCCTGCCGGGCCTTCCTCCTCCTCCCCCTTCCCTCCGATGTGCATGGGTGTGCTCTCGCTCCTGATGTTTTCTTTCTCGTCGACCGCCCGGCCTCAGGGCTGGGAAAATAAATATAAATGCAAATCATACCTCCCTTTCTTTCCCGCTTCCCCCCCACCTTCTCCTGGCCACCTCTCTCTCTGTCTCTCTCTCATTGTCTTGGCCTCCCCGGCCCTCTTACCGCCCTCCTCCGCACTCTTTCAGTGACCCCCCCCCCCCCCCCCCCCCCCCCCCCCCCCCCC